TTTTCATAAGTGATTTAGCACCGTTCTGCTTTTTTACACAAATCCCCATCACTCACTAATTATAAGAATATCTGTTTTTGAACGGCCTGAGTTAATTTAACCGATCGCATCTAAATGATATGGATTTCTTATGCCATTTCAAAGGTTGCTGAAAAAAATCAATATAAGAATAAAATTAGACTAATTGTTTGATGATTGACTGTTTCGAGGAGAATTTCACATTTTTTCTTTTCATCATCAGACACTCTTTCCTCTTATTTACCAGCAATTGATGTCCCCTTTTTGCAGAAGTCCATTTCACATTGGATTTCTGCTCTCTTTGAATTTAAATTTAAGCCAAAATGTATTGATGGCCAGTTTAAAATGTTTTTTTTTATCATTATCATTTAGCTTGTTGTGTTGAATACACACAAAGTGACACACTTAACTTGCACTGATTTTGACAATCTGGACCGATCCTGACTCGGATGTTAGAAACGTCCCATTGAACAATTGAAAACAAACACATTTGCATTATAAAAGAATAATTGAGCAGTTTTAAAGAATTTCAGCCTCTTGTGTCATTATCTTCCAAGGAGCGCAAATTAACTCATACAAAGATATTTAAAGACACTGATCACATTATGACCATACAGAGTTCAAGACCTCACAATTTTTTTTCCGTTTGTGTTCCTGACGACATTTCAGTTTATTTAGTTAAACAGTTTCTATTTCATTAAAGTATTTTGAAAAACAAACTGGAGACACTCCCTTTTGGTTCCATGAAAACATAAGTTGTTGATTTTGGATCCCTCTGTGACACAGCATAACTACTATGTTTGTTTTACCAGTATTTTAGACAACTCCTAAAAACCCACCGCTTTGATAGATCTTGATGATTAATTCCTTTCGAGTATTTCGAAACACTTTTTTCACTCACTTCTGGGTTTTGGATGAAATCACTGCTCATCATTCTTTAACTTTATATCTCATCTTCATATACATCTTACCATCTCTTTTTCACATTTACACTTTGTAAAACTGTTGAGTTTTAAAATGGCTGTTGGCACCATTGTATAACTTTATGTCACTGTATAAAGGTGATTTTCACTATATTGAGAGCAACAACAAAAAAAAGCCTTTATCTGTTGTGATTTTTTCATGTGCTAAGTAAATCAGCGGTTAATGCCATCCATCCTCTAGGATATGCTAACTCAGGCGCCTGGAAGTCTATAAAACCTTAATTAAACAAATGTACCTTCCATTGTCAAAAAACACAAGTAGCCCGCTGCTGGGTGGATGCAGTTTCTTTGAGCAGCGGCACGCTAGTCTTTGAAGGATTTCCCACTCAGCATTCCTTGTGGTTGTGTAAGCCCCAGCCATCCAACCGCAGTTATCATTAATGGGACATTAACATCACGCAACAAGATGAGTCATTGCTCATATGGGTCCGGGCACGGAGCTGACGATTCAGGGTGTACTTCAGGAGGAGAGGCATAAACACGGTCAAATGTGATTTTTCTAGTGTCTCTGGTGAGTGCTGTCGGTGAATGGGTGAGTGAGTGGGTGCATGAATGGAGCGGGACTCAGTGGACGGTGCGCTGGAGAAAGATGGCTCTCAGTGGGTCAGCCCGAAAGCCCTGACCCCAGGAGGATTTGATGCCATTTTCCCACGCAGGGAGTCGACCTGAGAGGAGCTCGTTAACAACATCTGCCCCAGTTCAGGGAGATTAACCCCCCCCCCACCCCCCCATCCCCAACCCCCGCACCTCTACACTCACACAGACACTCACACACACACACGCAAAGCACTCTGCTGTCAATCTCAGGACCTCACTCAGGTCCCCACACTCTGGACAGGCCTGCCCGAGCTGGACAAGCGACCGTGGCTCCCCCTCCAGGCCCAGATCAAAGGCGCCCTCTGAGAAACAGCCACAGCAAATCAATACAGTCTGCATCTGTGCTAGGTGCAGGCCTCGGCAGCACCGGTGCGTTCATCTGATACGCCCAGAGCACGTTGATGTCTGATCAGGGCATCAGAGGAGGTTCCAGATTTGAGTCTAAGATTAAATCAAGAGGCGTGTGTGTGTGTGTGTGTGCGTGCGTGTGTGTGGGTGTGTGTCAGAAGGTGTGCTCCCGCTGCAAGCTGCCCAGCCAGTCGAGCGGGACACTTAGTGACGTCACAAACGTCAGAGTCGTCTAATGAGTTTTCCACTCATCACACTGACGTCAAAAGAGACCCGGTGAGCACATTTCCACCGCTTTAACACCCTTTTTTCTCCAAATACTCCCACAAGACGCGGCTCCGGCTAGACATGTTCTGACATAATATCGGGGGGGCAGACTTGTGAGAGAAAAACTTCTGCCTGAAACGTGGCCCGTGGCTGTGGCGCTGCTCATGTGCAGATAAGTCGACGCTCAGCGGCAGAATCCACGGGCAATCCGCTGAATCCGTGTTCCACAGGCCTATAATTAGGTTAGTTTTTGGAGAGGGGGTTAAACAAACAGGGGCTGTGAGGTCATAGGCAGATGGAAGTGGGATATGCCTGCACTTGCTGAGTGGGCACAGAGCTCCACATGACAGGGAAGAGAGGCCCTCCGGGCACTCAGCAGGGGGAGATTGAGGGATGGGGGGGTGGGGGGGTGGTAGGGGGGTTGGTGGTAGTGTGGAGCTACTCTCAGATGGTCTAACCGCCCAAATAATTAAACGCTGTTAACGCACATGGACGGTCCGGGCTCACACCTTTGCTGAACACAGGCTTTCAGTCCCGAGACATCAGAGCTCTCCATTCTGAGGGCAGATAACTTTCCTCTGTTTGAAAATGACCCCCTGACCTTTGCTCTGTCCACGCTGCTGAAAACGCTTCTGTGGACCGCTGAGAGAAAAGCTGCTTAATTACGGAAAAATTAGCTGGGGAGTGCGATTGGGTGACGGGAGGCTGCTGGCACGCTAGAGTGACTTAAACCCTGTCAGTGAATGCAGGGAGGTCTGAATAATCCCCCCCCACCCCCCCCCACCCCAACAAAGGTGCGTGGGGCTAATCCAAGTTACTGTGCTGAGCTGTGGACCCAGTCCTGCCGGGAGTGTGGGAAGGCCAGCAGGACTGCCACTGCTTTGGCACTCTTGGTGGCCAGGGGTTTTTTTTTATTCAAAGGTACACTTCAACAGCAGGCCGAGCCCCTCTTCCAAACACCTTTGTATTATCTCGCACGGTGCAGCCAGTGCAATCCTGATAAAGGACGGAGCACAATTTCAGATAAATCTGTTGAAAAATCTAATATGTTATAGAGGAAAGTTTGGCCCATCATTCCAGGATGGTCAGATCTCCGCAGTGTAACTTTCTGGGTACGCGTTAAAATATGATGATGAAATTAATGGTAGAATATCATCTTTACTACATTTGAGAGAATGTCTTAATGCAAACTTTTCATTATTTTTCATGTTTGATTTTGGTAAAGGAGTATTTAAAAGCAAAGCAAATTGACCAAATATTTCTAAGTCATGTTTCAGAGTGTTCTCTATCAGTTATATACAACATTCTTTCAATTTTCATTAGAAATGATCTGACATGAGGTCACTTTAAACAGCGAATGTTTATTTGTATAAATCTGCATCTTTTCATTATTTTAAAAATATTGAAAATAAGACATTTTGGCTATGAAACCGGAATAATGTCCAGAGTGACAAAACAAAAATAATGTCAAACCTGTGCAACAAAGCTGATGGTGAGCCTTCACCTTTAGTGGAAACTTCTATATGTCTGTAAACTGGCTGAATTTCAAGAAGCAAAAAGTGGTAAAATAATAATCATTCAAACCAAGAAAAACTGCCCTGCATTTGTCAGTTAAAGGTAAACATTTTGAGAAATATAGATCCCATTCCTCCTCAAACCAATTCAAAATCAAGAAACTTTTTCTCTAAACTAAGAGAAACTGAAATAGCTGATATATTAGAACTGGAATGAAAGAACCCTGTGATCTAAAAACAAAAATAGATGTTTAAAAGGATACAGGTATATTGCTAATGTCCAGAAAATGACATTATTCAGGAATTTATCTATTTACTCATTCATATTAAATCCATGAGAACACTTTTAAAATCTACATTCTAATGTCTTGAGTTTTATTTAATTTGGAAACCATAAATATACGTTTTTGAAGATACCTTAAAAACCCTGGTTAAGATTTTTGATGCTCTCTGAAAATAACTCATTATTTCACCCAGACATGATTTTTCTTTTACACACAAAACACAGTCACATGTTACGTTTCGTAGAAATTTATTCAGCATTTAAGAATAGAGGATGGTCTTAAAATATGTAGAAACGTCAGTTTAAATAAACCTTTTCGTTCAGAATAATGAGTAAACGTGACACTGTCAAAAAACCATCACAGAACAAAACAATTTACAAAAAGAAAACAACCAATAAAACAAATATGAACATTTTCACGTGACAAAAGAAATCGGGTTCACAAGCTAGAAAAACAAAATCTTACTATAAATAAAACTTGCGTTTGCGACCCGCACAGTCTTAACATTTCACTTAACCTAGTTCATGAAAAGGAGAACCAAAGACTACAAAATTTGGACACAGTGAAGACGACTGACATTCTACAAATGAAGTGTAAACATTTATGAACAACTGTCCATCCAGCTTTTCTGAAACAGCCGGCCCCTTCACGAGGCCACATGCCTTTTCATCGAGAGAAAATATGGCATTATTTAAAATATAGAAGTCCACTTCTTCTACACAGGTTTGATTGCTTCTACTTGTGATAAAAAGCCTCTCTTGAGACGCAGTTTCTCTGCCGGGCTCAACGTTCAGCTCCGATCCTTTTTGGAGACAAAACTGTTCGTGAAACAAATCTGCTGTATCTTCAGCAAACCAAAAAAAAAAGTTCAAGTATCCGAAGTACCTTTTTTTTTTTTTTTTACCAAAAAAAAAAAAAAAGAAAGAAAGGAAGTTTGAAGTCTCTTTTTTTTCTGTCTCTCTCTCTTTCAGTCTCTTGCAGCAGGCTTTTCAGATGTGGGTGAGAGGTAGCGTGCCGTTGACGCCCGTCCCTGCGCTCTGGTAGTGCGGATGGACGCTGTGTAACCGGCTGCTCTGCAGGGAGGAATGCTCCGCGCTGTCCCCGCCGGGGGGCAGGTACATGCTGATCATGTCCCTCAGGTCCCCCAAGCACGCCCGCTGGGAGTGGGACGTGATGGCGGGCGGCGGCGAGCTGGGCTCGGTCTTGCACACGGACGCCATGGAGCTGAGCCCCATGGCGCCGGGGCTCTGCTGCGTGTAGGCCGGGGACATGCTGTAGGTGGACGCCGCCGCGTTCATGTAGGTCTGCGCGGTCGACATCATCGGGTACTGCAGGCCCGCCATCTCGTACCGGTGCATCTGCTGGATCTGCGGGCTGTTCATGCTGTGGTGCTGAGGGTAGGCCAGCTGGTCCTGCATCAGGGAGTAGGCGCTGTTGGTCCAGCCGTTCATGTGCGCGTAACCGTCCATCCGCTGGCCAACGGACACCGAGTTGTTGACGGCGTTGGATCCCGGCGCCAGCAGCCCCCCGGGCAAAGAGTACTTGTCTTTTTTCAGCAGGGTCTTGGTCTTCCTGCGGGGACGGTATTTATAATCCGGGTGCTCCTTCATGTGCATGGCCCGCAGACGCTTGGCCTCGTCGATGAACGGCCTCTTCTCGGCGTCGGTCAGGAGTTTCCAGTCAGCGCCGAGTCGCTTGCTGATTTCAGAGTTGTGCATTTTGGGGTTCTCCTGTGCCATCTTCCGTCTTTGCCCCCGGGACCAGACCATGAAGGCGTTCATCGGCCGTTTGACGCGCTCCTGGTCGCTGACGCTGTTCTTTGCGCCCTGCGCCGAGCCCGAGTTGGACTGCGGGAGCGGGGTCTTGATGTCGGTTTCCATCATGTTATACATTCGGGCGGTTTAGTGGTCACTCACGCGCATATAGCTGGGTTTTTAAAATAAAAAAAGTTCACAAAAACAACGCCAAGAGTCAGAGAGGTAGAGTTAGCCTACTGACCAGTCTCACGTGAAGAAGGGGGGAAAAGTTGTGCCTGAGGAGGGAAAAACGCGCGTGCAGGTGCGCCCGGTTTCTGTCCGCTCAGAGCTGCTCCTTCCCTTTCGGCTTTCAAACAGAAGTCCGTAAACTCGTTCGCCAAGCTCATGTGTTAATAGGCCTGGAGGCCGGACCATGTGATGCGGATTGACAGCGTGACAATGAGGAGAGGGCGGCCAATCCGCGCGCAGCTCCTCACGTCCAACCGGAGCGCCAAGCGCGCGTGTTGGTCACAGGGGGAGGGAAGGGAAGTTTTAAAAGCGCAGAGCAGTTCGATAACCTGAGCTCAGAGTGTCAGAGATTTACATTTGCGATCTGAGGATGAAGATGCGAGGGACCATGAAATACTTGTTTTTTTTCTGTAGGTGCTATGTTTTGGAGGACTTTAAGTTTATCTGAGCTTTTAAATAAATATTAGTGTCCACTACCCTGCTGTCGTTAAATTTTATTGTAAAATAATATCTGGATAGTAGAGTTTCAAATCAATATGAGGTTAGGAAAAAAAGTGCTCATTATTACTGTGGAGTAATGTTATAAATGGCTCCCCACAAGAAACTAAAGCAAATAAAAAGTGGGACATCGTGAGAAAATGTGCAACTTGAGTTAAAAATGTGCTTCTTTACATGCTTGATATATTTGACCAAACTAAATTAAAAGCCCTGGAATATTCTGTCACTGTCAGAAGCTCTTCCAAGAATCACTTTTTCCAAATGATCTTAACTTTCAGATCATTTCTGCTGGCAAGTAGTTTTTATCCAAGACTTGTCCACCTTGAGTGTTAGAGAAAAGGGGACAAAAGCAACATTTATTGTTTACAGTATATCTGTATAGAGAGGACAGATGAAGACATGAAAAATAAATAGGCGCATAAATCAAGTCAGTCTAAGGAAAAACGTTCCACGTGTTTTTTTAACCTGATTGTTAGAATATATAGAAACTTCTCAACATGTCTGGCAATAAAAACTAGAAATAGAAATAGAATATTTGAGTATAAATTAAACAGATGAAGTAGTAACGATGCGCGTGTGAAAGGTTCCTGTGTGTGAAACTTTAATACATCAACGACCTCTTGTGGAGGGGAAAGACCATTTCTTTGGGCCTGGAGAAAAAGTTTAGCACGGGACTCGGGCCGGTGCCCAGCTCCTGTGTGTGCTGACATGTTCTCTCTGCGGAGTTAATGCTCATCAAAACGATAAGCATGCAGCGGCCCCGATTTGCATGTGTCTGCTTACAAACGACTTTCCCCACTGAAACCCATCTGGACTGCGACAATCTCACAGCTGCTAATGACCGGGAGCCAATGGCCCATCGAAAACCGCTGTTAACACCTCGGTATCTCCGCGGGGTCCTCGGGGGAGATCGTCTTTGCATGCGCACTTTTACCTCCCGGAGTTTTTGCAGGAGCCATCCCAGCTGCTGGACCTACGCAGCGAGGAGGTGCGCAACGACGGAATGACCAAAAGAGACAACTTCTAATTCCTGTCCTTTAGCAACAGCTAATTTTACTAGTCAAATAGCAGGATTTATTTGAGAGCTTGTGTTTAGTTGAGCAGGCAGAGCCAAAGCAAGTTGTGTGTCCGATTTAGAGATTTAAAAGAATCACAAACGAATAATCAAATGTGTAAGAATTTCTCTCCCCCCAAAAAAGAGTAAAACCGTTTCGTTTAAAAAGTTTGATATGATAAAAGTTTCATTCAACAGAGCATAAGCATAAAGCACAAGCTGATGGATATAAAAGTTGTAAATATGTTCGCAAAGTGAGACAGAAATAAGGAGATGAGCGTGTGGGACTGGGCTCATGGCACACATTTAAACGGTAAAATGGGCTCATTTCTCACGTGCACATGTCGCCTCGTGTAGTTGCAGTAAATCAGCTCACAAGAGACATCACTTCATGAATTTAATTTTCCCGTTCAATAGGGCGTGACAAACCGAGCGGGAGCAATAAAACTAACCTCCAATTAGTCGTCATCTAATTCTGAGACCATATATTTGTTTATCTGAGCAAATCTCAATCCGCTTGTAATCTCCTTATGGAAATTGACCAGTGGCAGAGACAGAGGGTGGGGGGTGGTGGTGGTGGTGGGGGACCCACCACAAGTAACCCGGAGTTTGATAATGAGAGCCTGTGTGCAGCTAATTTCCTAATTAAGGAACGGAGGACCACCAGCACAGTCTGCTCCGATTCAGGCTCAACAAGCCTGCAGCCCTCGGGGGCTCCGGGGGCTGCAGGGTCCCTCTGTTGAATGTTGGGAAATACGCGGATGTCCTGGTGGGAGGGACGGAGCCTTAGTGAATATAACGTTTAAATAAATGTATCCATGCGTAAAAACGCACCTCTTTATCAAAACGCATGGATCAATTTGGAGATTTTTTCCAATCTCCTTTAAAGATTTTTTTCTCACTTCAGAAATGTGACCTTTCTTAGTTTGTTAAAAAATATTCGATTTGCTACATTTTACTTCTTTTTTCAACTATATTTTGAAATCTGTGGAAAATAACGACTGCGAGTGAAAAATATGATTGGCCTTCAGGCCTGGGAGGTAAAACTACATTTTAAAAGATTTTGGTTGTATTTTGCCCACTGAAAGAGAGAGGAGAGTCTATAACCAGGTCGCCAAACTGACACGGGACGATCACATATATCAGCTGTGAAACGAGTTAAATGAAAAATATATTGAGACGGAAAAAAAGGCTCTAAATTTGATATAAAACGAATATTTAAAAAAGACATGCACTCTGATATAGTTCCTGCAACTGTCCAAATTACAAAACTCCAAATAACCAGCCAATAATTATGCATCCATTTTTAATATTCAATTCACTCGATTTCTTTACAATTTTCTTAGGTGCATCTAAAAGACGCGTCTCACAAGCAAATTAGACATTATTTTTATGTGTACATTTGATGCCCACCAGCCCCACCGAACCCCGGAATCAGTAACTTTTTTTTGTTTCAGCTCAATGACCGCGGACAAGGCCTTTGAGAACAGTAATTAACAAAGAATAGCTTTTCAATTACAGCCACAAAGGAGTCTGTCTCATTAAGATTTGCATGATTTTTTTTCTTTTTCTTTTTTTTTTTTGTCCACCAGGAATGCAAATGAAGATGCAATTTACGCACGGTCTGCTGTTCCCATTGTGTGGCCTGAATGGTTGCATGCTCCCAGTTCAACACAGGTAGAAAACAATAATAATATTCACGGGTAATTTAAACTAATAGAAATGTTGCTATCATCGCCTCTTTATTGCACAACTCCGGGCAAGTAGTCCTAATGATAATTGGACTTATTTGACCGGTAAACGAGGGAAATACTCAATTTGACTGCATGAAATGTTAAACGCCTTTGCGGTGATAGGTGGAGCGTTTTGTGCATAGATGATCTCTCAAAACTTAATCGACTAATTTTCACCAATATTCGTGGTTCGCTCATTCCTGGAGCTTCTCTGCAGTTTTTACCCTAAACGCTGCTTTAGAAAATGCAGCCATCAGTACAGATCAAGAACAGCAACAGGTACTTATGATGATTTCCTAATACGTGTAATGCTATAAAAACACTATAGTGCACGAACACCACAAGGGAACACTTTGCTTTCTCTATTGATTTAGGTTCAATATTCATTATTTGGTGTGAATCATCTTATCATATTTGGCATAAATAAAAGATGTCAGTGAAAAGGAAAAGTTGGTTTTCTCCTAACATAGAAGGGGCAGGACCAGAACAAGTCGATATGGGTCCCCCCTGGTAAATCAGCTTCCAGCAAATACGTCTCCAGGCTTGTCTGGATGCACAAGGGTACCAGAATTTAAAAGAGATTCTAGAGAAATGAATGGTATAAAGAAGAATAGATGAATGCGTAAAAGTAGAAATAAGAAATTGTGAAGCTATAGTATTACTTTTTACATTTAAGAGTTTATGTTTCTAATTAGTTTTCCTATGTTTTCCATAAATGCTTTTGCTTTCGTATTACTTTATTGATTCTTTACTATTTTACCAACATATATATATATATAGACCACCACCCCCTTTCACCTCACATGCACTCTTTGCATATATTTGCATCTTATTTGGAGGTCTAACCTTGTGTGATTAGTTTCACCTATTGGCTAGTGTGCTTGATTTTCCAGAGCAAGCCATATGAGGAAAAAAATAAAGTATTTTAGAGGGAGCAAAAAAAGTGAATAGGAAATAATAAAACATTCATATGAAAGGACCAACAAAATTCTTAAAATTCTAAAGAAATAACTATAGTTAACAAAGAAATAAAAATAAGCATTGAGGAAAATTGTGAAATAAACATTTTCTAAATGAAAAACATTATGTGTAAACAATACCGAAAATATTTTTTCTTCTTGATATTTCCCAGTTCCTTTTTTTTTTCTTTTTTTTTTACAGATATTTGGTCTTTGTGGCACTCCAATCATTCCTAAGATCTCTGTTTATGGGCCCATCCAAGGCAGTGCAGGTTCAGCAATTAAGCTGTTAAAAGAGAGACCGAAACCTTCAAAAGAAGCAAAACACACTCAGAGGACAGATGCATTGATTGTCAGGGGCCTTTGTGCCGGTGCACATCTGTCGGGAGGACTCTTGGCTAATGGAGAACGGTGCATTCTTCCCTCCGCTGTGACAGACTTTTTTTATGTGTGTATTTTGAAGCCCAGAAGTGTCATCCATGCACTCAAAAAGTGACCTTGCTTCACTTCGAGGAATTTAACCATCTTACTAATCGACTTCCTCTTGTAAAACAACACACATAAAGCTGTTAGCTGCTGGTGAAGGCTATCTCAAACTCGAGCCTCTTCTTTTTTTTCTCCCCAACAGGCCAAGCATGTCCTTCCTCATTATGTTCTTGTGTG